CTGTATTACATGTAGGTATTAATTTTTTGAGGAGTAAAATTTTGATGGATTGCTACATTTTTGATGATTTGTGGGACAATTTGTAACCATGTGCCATTGAGCATGCACATAATGGTTTAAAATAACATGCTTAATTAATTAAAAAAATATCTATCAAAATGCAAAAATCACTTTCTGAAAATTAATATTATTTATTATTATTATATTCCCCTCCAGTTATTCTTATGATGTAACTCATTCCCTTCAGTTCCAAATGAGGACTTCAGGGGGTCCTATGCCTCCGTCCTGTCTTAGGTTTATATGGAATGAGTACTTACTGGAGAACCTTGAGGGCTTCGTACACTCAAGATGGATACTCCATATAATATGTGGATTCATGTCACAAATCAGTGAGTAATGAATGACCATGTGCTTGAATTGGGGAACTTTAAAAATTAGTAAAAAATCCAAACTTGATTGGAATTAGCTCAAACTTCCTACACGACATAAGTTTATGTATATGTATCAGAAAATGTAATAAAAATGGAGAATTTTCTCCTTGAAATTTTTGGTGAAATTTGGCCTAAGACCCTGTACTATAGTACAGGGACTTTTGCTCGATTTTTGAGCAACTTTAAAAATTCATAAAAAATCTAAACTTGATCAAAATCAGCTCAAACTTTCTACACAACATAAGAACATCTATATGCATTAGGAAATGTAATAAAAACAGAGAATTTTCTCCTTGACATTTTTTGTGAAATTTGGCCAAAGGGACTTTTGCCCGATTTTGGAGTATTTTTAATATCAGTGATTATCTGAATGATAGTCTTTTATTGGTTTAGATATTTCAGTTTTTGGTCATCCTATATACTTGAAACTCATCGCCAGAAGGTCTCGTAATTTTGCTGGTACCAGATACCTTAAGAGAGGAATCAATGATGAGGTAAGACCAACCTCCAGTGACCTTACAATGTATCATGTACTGTTTGTTTTCTTTATATTACTGTACAGCTAACCACCAGTGATCTGATGTACATGTACATGTATGACAAACTATTCATACATTTTCTATGTGCATATACATGTACACGAACATGTACGTGTACATGTAATTCTAACTAGTTTCATTAGTCTTACAGTACACATACAGTTTTGCATGTTTAATTGTTGCATCTACACTCTACTATACCCACGCGTTGACATGTACAGTACATGCATTATACAGTTGTATCTACATGTACATGTACATGTATTTACATTGTACATGTAAAAAAAGCATATGTACATGCCATAGGCGGCTGCAGGGTCGGGCATTTAGGGGCAATGCCCGACCAAAAATTCTGACCGGAAGTGTGACATCACCATAA